CCTTAACTGGCCGCCCCTCCTGCAAGCATGTTGCTCTGTTGAATGATTCTTCCTGTATCGTGCGGACTTGATGTGGCTGTCAGAAGTAGCTCTCTGAAGGAGGCGTGCTGGAGCAACAGGGAGGAAGAAGAGTAGGATGGGATTTCTACTGTTGGCAACTATATGAAGGTCTCGAAACTTGTAGTCCCTATAGCTGTGAAGAACCCCAATATACGTCTCTCATGGTGACTGACGTAGGGCCAATTACAGATCAGCTGGGACAACCGAATTCCACGGTCCTGTGCGCAGTTCAAGTAGTAACGGCTTTCGGGTTGACCAAGTGTTGTTGTGCGTTAACGACGGAGAAGCGACGGAGGCAGTTGTGTTGAAGAAATGTGGTGCAGGATTATCTACAAGACCAAGCAGTGACGTCGCCCAGCCAGAGACAATGGACGTCTGTCTACATATTTCATTTTTTAGAGTAGGATGATGTATATTTGTTTAGCTAGGATGTATTCTTTTCGTTAATAAAGTTGTCGCACACAGCTAGCTTGCTTTAGCAGTGTTGCAAAAACTTTATTTTCGGGGAGAAGGGGAGATGTAACACTGTAAAAGTGTTTGGTTTAGGTTAATACATACATAGAGTACATGAGTCACAGACAAGGATCGGAGAGGCGCCAGTTGTCTGCCTGAGATCTCACTCCTCTAACCGTTAACGACCCCAAGTGACCTGAGGTCAGATCATGAGAATTTCACCTTGCTTCCGCTAAGCGTATAATTGGAGCCGGGTAGCCTTCAAACATGCCGACGTTTAAGGAGTGGCTTGGTAGTGCCGGAGGCTATCTACTTGTGGGCGGAGTTAGCTACTAGGTTCCCCAATATAAACTCGGAGAGCTATCGAGCATTAAGCAATAGGAGACCGGCCAGCGGAGCAGAGCAGAGGCCAGCCATCGAGATAGGCCGTCACCAGACGGGGGGTGACGCTGCCTGAAAATTGCAGACCCCCCCCCCCCCCTCTCTATTCAACTTAGACTCAGTCCTCGGTGAGTGAACATTTAGGTGACTTGGTCGTGTTTACATATGTTGTGTGATGATCAGGGGCAGTCAAGTTGTAGGGTTCTCGAATTCTTGGATGATGACTCACTTTGCATATTAAACTGGAACATTTTAATTGAATTGCTAAATTATGATACTTCATGAAAAATATAATTGTTGAATTTATTATTTAAATGGTCTTTCACTGTGTTCCCTAGAGAGTTGAGTTAAGGTGAGAAAGCCTCGGTGGTTACTAGATTCAAGATATTAATGAGTACATGTTTGGAGTTGATACATGGTACAGAGGGAACATACTAATAATGAACTCATGATAACATCCTTTGAGAATTTTGTGATACAGGCAAGTTCCATTCCTTGTCTTGTAGGTAATGATCATGAATGGATGGTGGCAGCATTTCGTCTTCTACTATCTACTCTTCTACTTCTACTATCTACTCTTCTCCTTCTACCTATCTACACCTCTCCCTCCACCCCTCTCTAAACTCTCACTTTCAACTAATGACCCTCCTCGCCCCTCCCACCTCTCTGCCTCTCACCCCAAACCCTCACTAATTACTTCACATTTCATTTCTTTCCTCTCGTTTTCTCTTATACGTTTGTGGCAATGATTCTGTATTCTAGAGTTCTCTCTAGAGTTTCGGGTAACTGATCAAGTGACGGCGCCTTGTAGTCTTAACACCTAGGTAGTCAAATACCTAGGTTACAAGGTGTTGAACGAGAGAGGTTGCCTTAGGATCTCTGGAGGTGCTCTAGAATAGTTAGTTAACTGGAGACGGGATAACGGACTAGAGAGAGCTGTTTCCCCCGGCTTCGTTAGTTAACTGGGGGGTGGAATAATGGACAAGATAGAGTTATTTCCCCCACCCCCCGTTACATTAAGATAAGCATCTTATTGCTTCGTAATTACAATTATTACCTAACCTATAATAGGTATAGGTTAAGTAATAATTGTAATTACGAAGCAATAAGATGCTTATCTTAAGATACTAACAAGGTTAGGTAAGGTCGGTGTTTTCTATGAATCTTTTTAAGGGTATCTATTATGTTTAGTATATCACCTATGCACGTAGTTAATAAGTCAATATTGACTTTACGAATTTGCGAGAACTGGTTGCAGGAGGATAGCATTACTCTCAGGAGGACAATATTGCTCTCAGGAGGATAGTATTACTCTCAGGAGGATAGCATTACTCTCAGGAGGACAATATTGCTCTCAGGAGGATAGTATTACTCTCAGGAGGATAGCATTACTCTCAGGAGTATTGCATTACTCTCAGGAGGATTGCATTACTCTCAGGAGGATAGCATTACTCTCAGGAGGATAGCATTACTCTCAGGAGGATAGCATTACTCTCAGGAGGATAGCATTACTCTCAGGAGGATAGCATTACTCTCAGGAGGATAGCATTACTCTCAGGAGGATAGCATTACTCTCAGGAGGATAGCATTACTCTCAGGAGGATAGCATTGCTCTCAGGAGGATAGTATTGCTCTCAGGAGGATAGTATTGCTCTCAGGAGGATAGTATTACTCTCAGGAGGACAGTATTACTCTCAGGAGGACAGTATTGCTCTCAGGAGGATAGCATTACTCTCAGGAGGATAGCATTACTCTCAGGAGGATAGTATTACTCTCAGGAGGATAGCATTGCTATCAGGAGGATAGTATTACTCTCAGGAGGATAGTATTACTCTCAGGAGGATAGCATTACTCTCAGGAGGACAGTATTACTCTCAGGAGGATAGTATTACTCTCAGGAGGATAGCATTACTCTCAGGAGGATAGCATTAAACAGCTCACCAGCTGGGAAGCTCTACAAGAGGTAGGGGGGGGGGTCTACAACAATTACAACCTGGTATTATAACCCATATGAACGAGCCTCGGTCCTGGACCTCATTTAGAGCAAGGCCAACACACCACAAAACCCCCACAGCACTAATGGGGTGAAACTTATGCTACACCCTGTCACATAAATGGGGTGAAATTTGTGCGACACTCTGTGCCAAGGGTCAATACTGACATCTTGGTGATCATAATATACTTTATGGTCTTGATATCGAGGTTAATAATATTTTAAGTACATTTGTGGTCAATACAAGAGCAGGAGACATTGTATATGTAAATATATAATGTCTTGTGGTCCTAAGGAAGCTTGATATCTTGCGGGGCCCAGGGAGCTTGATATCTTGGGGGCCCCAGGAAGCTTGATATCTGGTGGGCCCCAGGGAGCTTGATATCTTGTGGGCCCTAGGAAGCTTGATATCTGGTGGGCCCCAGGAAGCTTGATATCTTGTGGGCCCTAGGAAGCTTGATATCTGGTGGGCCCCAGGAAGCTTGATATCTTGTGGGCCCTAGGAAGCTTGATATCTGGTGGGCCCCAGGAAGCTTGATATCTTGTGGGCCCTAGGAAGCTTGATATCTGGTGGGCCCCAGGAAGCTTGATATCTGGTGGTCCCCAGGAAGCTTGATACTGGTGGGCCCCAGGAAGCTTGATACTGGTGGGCCCTAGGAAGCTTGATATCTTGTGGGCCCCAATAAGCTTTATCTTGTGGTTCTTATTAACCTACATTTCTCAGTAAGCTTTAGGTCTCAGGGAGGTCTCAGTAAGCTTTAGGTCTCAATAAGCTTTAGGTCTCAGGGAGGTCTCAGTAAGCTTTAGGTCTAGGGAAGGAAGTGACAATTTACAGCTTAATGTTAACCGTCGGGACTGTTTCAACAATCCTCTAGACCCTCCGTCCTGGAAGGTAGATGACCATTATCGAGTCGTTTCTGTCCATCTTGGACCACTAACAAGAGGTTGCTGTCCATCTTGGACCACTAACAAGAGGTTGCTGTCCATCTTGGACCACTAACAAGAGGTTTCTGTCCATCTTGGACCACTAACAAGAGGTTTCTGTCCATCTTGGACCACTAACAAGAGGTTTCTGTCCATCTTGGACCACTAACAAGAGGTTTCTGTCCATCTTGGACCACTAACAAGAGGTTTCTGTCCATCTTGGACCACTAACAAGAGGTTTCTGTCCATCTTGGACCACTAACAAGAGGTTTCTGTCCATCTTGGACCACTATCAAGAGGTTTCTGTCCATCTTGGACCACTAACAAGAGGTTTCTGTCCATCTTGGACCACTATCAAGAGGTTTCTGTCCATCTTGGACCACTAACAAGAGGTTTCTGTCCATCTTGGACCACTATCAAGAGGTTTCTGTCCATCTTGGACCACTAACAAGAGGTTTCTGTCCATCTTGGACCACTAACAAGAGGTTTCTGTCCATCTTGGACCACTAACAAGAGGTTGCTGTCCATCTTGGACCACTAACAAGAGGTTGCTGTCCATCTTGGACCACTAACAAGAGGTTTCTGTCCATCTTGGACCACTATCAAGAGGTTTCTGTCCATCTTGGACCACTAACAAGTGCCCCCCCCCCCACCAAAACAAACATTACCATATGCCACCCCCCTCCCCCTCTCACTCACAGCCAAACTCGCGTTTTCTATGCATGGGCCTCAAGAGGTTAGGTTAGGGTAGGTTGGGTGGGTTGCTTGGGTTCGTAGGTTTCCGGTCAGCTACAACCGCTACATTTCTTGCGGCTTGACGAACTGAGACATGATCGAGACATACTGAGTTGAAGATGACTTCAATATGTCGAGCAGTTGAGGAAGTTGAAGCAGTTGGGGAGCCTGTCGGCCGAGCGGACAGCACCCTGGACTTGTGATCTTGTGGTCCCGGGTTCGATCCCGGTCGCCGGAGAGAAACAATGGGCAAAAGTTTCTTTCACCCTATGCCCCTGTTACCTAGCAGTAAAATAGGTACCTGGGTGTTAGTCAGCTGTCACGGGCTGCTTCCTGGGGGTGGAGGCCTGGTCGAGGACCGGGCCGCGGGGACACTAAAGCCCCGAAATCATCTCAAGATAACCTCAAGAGGAAGTTACTTTCCGCCGTGAATTAAGAAGAGATCTTGACCACAATGAGACAATTGCTGAGTACTACTCCAAGAGCAGGTGTTAACGACGGGAAACTGCCGGTTAAAGCCATCACCGGCTCCAAGCACTCTGTAATTCACAGCTAGGAGCCCCAATCCTAGCCCACGACATGGCAGCTAGGAGCCACAATCCTAGCCCTCGACGTGGCAGCTAGGAGCCACAATCCTAGCCCTCGACGTGGCAGCTAGGAGCCCCAATCCTAGCCCTCAACGTGGCAGCTAGGAGCCCCAATCCTAGCCCTCAACGTTCCAGCTAGAAGCTCCAATCCCAGCCGTCCTCCATACACCTAGGTGCCCCAATCCCAACACAACACACACACACAGCTAGTTGGCCCAATCTTACTTTTCATATACCCCAATTAGGGCTATGTGCCCTAACCCCAACCCTCACACAATTAGCAAAGTGCCCTAATCCCATCCTTCCCACCCACGGCTTGGTGACTCAATCCCAACACCACACATCCAACTAAGTCCCACAATCCCAGTCTCAATCCACAAACACACACACACACACACACGCACACACACACACACGCACACACGCACACACACACGCTCACACGCACACACGCGCGCACACACACACACACACACACACACACACAAGAAGTGAACCCAGATGTAATCGGACTCACAGAAACAAAACTCTCAGGCATCATAACGAATGCGGTGTTCCCCAGGAGTACACAGTAATAAAGAAAGAGAGGGAAGTATGGGAAGGAGTTTTAGTGGCCCTACTAAAGGGAAAGGAATGGAGTTACACGGAGATGGTCATCCCGGGCTGCGAGGGATTCAGAGACTACATAACAGGCACCATGACATTGGGAGGACCAAAAGTAGTAGTAGCAGTGATATATAACCCCCCACCAAATGACAGAAGACCCAGGCAAGAGTATGACAACAACAACATGGCAGTTAACACTATAATTGAGAAGGCAGCCTCTGCTGAATGTAGAAATAGATCCCACCTGCTCATCATGGAAGACTTCAATCACGGAAGGATAGACTGGGAGAACAAGGAACCGCATGGAGGGGAGGACACGTGGAGACCAAGCTAATGCAGGTGGCGACAAGAAACTTTTTAAGCCAACATGTCAAGGAGCCCACTAGGATGAGAGGAAATGATGAACCAGCGAGACTCGACCTAGTCTTCACTCTGATCGACTCCGACATAAGGGAAATCGACTTTGAGGCCCCAGTAGGAATGAGCGACCACAGTGTACTGACGTTTGAGTATCTGGTTGAAGAAGGGTTATTGAACTCGAGGAGGGATACTGAAAACAAAAGGCTGGCATTCCGAAAAGGAAACTATGAGGAGATAAGAAAATTCCTAACAGATATAACATGGGAAACAGAGCTCAGGGGAAAGACGGCCCAAGACATGATGGACTACATCACGCAGAAGTGCAAGGACGCAGCAAACAAGTTTGTCCCAGTCCAAAAGGAAAACAATGAAATGAAGATGAGAAACCCGTGGTTTAATCAGAGATGTAGGCTAGCTAAGCAGCAAAGTAAAAGGGCATGGAGAAACTATAGGAATAACAGGACACTGGAGAGCAGAGAAAGATACCAGAGTGCCAGGAATGAGTATGTCAGGATGAGAAGAGAGGCAGAAAGACAATACGAAAATGACATCGCTAGCAAGGCAAAGACTCAACCTAAATTGCTGCATAGCCACATCAGGAGAAAAACCAACAGTAAAGGAACAGGTAATGAAAATAAGGATAGGGGCAGAAGGATTCACTACAAACAACAAGGAAGTGTGCGAGGAACTGAATAAGAAATTCCAGGAGGTCTTCACCTTAGAGCAAGGAGAAATTCCAGAGATAAGAGAGGGAATAGTTAAGCAGGAACCACTAGAAGAGTTTGAGATTACCAGTGGGGAAGTAAGGAAGTGTTTACTAGAGTTGGATGTGACAAAGGTTATAGGCCCAGATGGCATCTCCCCTTGGATACCAAAAGAAGGAGCAGAAGCACTGTGCATGCCACTCTCCATAGTGTATAACAAATCACTGGCAACAGGGGAACTGCCAGAAATTTGGAAAGCAGCTAACGTAGTCCTGATATACAAGAAAGGGGATAGACAGGAGGCACTGAACTACAGGCCAGTGTCCCTACCCTGCATACCATGCAAGCTGATGGAGAAGATTGTGCGAAAAAAGCTAGTGGAACATCTGGAGCGAAAGAACTTTGTAACACAGCATCAACATGGGTTCAGGGATGGCAAGTTCTGCCTCACAGGCCTAATTGAATTCTACGACCAGGCAACAAAAATCAGGCAAGAAAGAGAGGGATGGGCAGACTGCATATTTTTGGATTGCCAGAAAGCCTTTGATACAGTACCACACAAGAGGCTAATGAAAAAGCTGGAGATGCAGACAGGAGTTAAAGGGAAGGAACTCCATTGAATAAGGGAGTACCTAAGTAATACGGGACGTGGTTTAGGCGCTCTTGTCCTTTACGCTGCCCGTGAATGATCTTAAGACCAAGACCCCGGAGCTAACTCTCAACTGAGTCCCACGCCACGTGGTCTTAGACGTTCGACCGTCTAAGACTCTACAGCCACGTGACGTGGTTGTAGGAGGTCTAGCAAGCTCAAGGATCTCAACACTGCCACCACCAAACCAATTAAAACGAAACTAGCAAATTAATTAATTGGGGTTTGGACCAATTAATCAATCATTAAACCCTTGGAGCTTAATCCCCAAATTACTTGGAAAAGGGAGGGATGAATTTACATTAAGTGTGGGGAATTACTCAAACAAAACAAAGGGATATATTTGGGAGTTAAGATAGCAAGATTTGCTTGCTGTATTAATACTGATTCATTCCAATAACCCAGACTCGTAGAGACCACGGCAACACAATCATATAATATCAATTGGGTAAAATTCAGGAAATACAAAATTTCTTACTTTCATAGTTTTGCATAATAAAACTGTAATTAATAAAAATCACTCCCTAACTGAACACTTCCTAATCTGAATCTAGAAAAAGAGGCAAACAACATGAACAGTCACTGTACAAACTCCTAGCAACTTTTACCATAATCTTAGAAACCAGGCGATGGAGTTCTGGTCTCGGGAGGCAAGGTGGTCACCTCTTCAGCTGCTGCTCCAGACCACACTGTTTACCCTGTCCTCAGCTGAGGACTGACCTAGGCTAGTATTACTCCGCCAGCTTTATCAATTTCCCGCCAAACACACACCGAAATGACGTTGGTACAACGTTCGAACAAGTTTTAACACCTCCTAACCAGTTATAACAACCAATATAGCAAGTTGTAACAACGTTCTAATACGTCATAAACACGTTAAGCCAAGATGTAACAACTTTATTACAAGTTGTAACAAGCGGAAAATAGACAGTTTCGGTCTGTGTTTCCAGGGAATTACCAAGCAGGCCAAGCAGGCCAAGCAGGCCAAGCAGGTCAAGCAGGCCAAGCCGGCCAAGCAGGTCAAGCAGGCCAAGCAGGCCAAGCAGGTCAAGCAGGCCAAGCAGGTCAAGCAGGCCAAGCCGGCCAAGCAGGTCAAGCAGGCCAAGCAGGTCAAGCAGGCCAAGCCGGCCAAGCAGGTCAAGCAGGCCAAGCAGGCCAAGCAGGCCAAGCAGGCCAAGCAGGCCAAGCAGGCCAAGCAGGCCAAGCAGGCCAAGCAGGCCAAGCAGGCCAAGCAGGCCAAGCAGGTCAAGCCGGCCAAGCAGGGTTTAACATGAACAAACTAATCTCATATCCTAGCCAAACCAGAAGGTTGTATATTATTAAAGCTGGTGGTAATTAAATTAGACATCTTGGAAAACAATCGCCAATAACAATATTGGCTAGTGAACTGAATTTGTACATTAGGAATTACTAAATATTGGAGATTGTGGTGACGTCTGCCGCGTGACCCCCTCTGGCCTCGGCTACGTCATGAGCGGCCACCGGCCTAGTCCCCCCTACTCGACATGTCGTCACTTCATAATAGCGGTGTATGAACCCTGATCTCAAACTCTACCTAACATACATATCTAAACAGGTCGGTTATTAAAAACAATTACTGTAACTGTTAAATAATTCATTACTTGTTGAATTAAAACAAAGGAGACAGCCATCTTGTATTCTAAACGTGTTAATCCCTAAATCCCAGGGAAGATGACCCTATGTTCGTCTCCAGGTACTAGACTACCACCAGCCTCCATCTTTTGGGAGAAACGTGGTCCCAATGTAATGCTTATGACACCTGTACTTTCTACAACAAGCTAGTTTGTTACACCTAAGCAACAGGAGACAACGAGTCAGTGTGAAGGGTGAGGTCTCAGATTGGCGAGGCGTCACCAGTGGAGTCCCGCAGGGGTCAGTCCTTGGACCTATACTGTTTCTGATATATATATAAATGATCTCCCAGAGGGTATAGACTCGTTTCTCTCACTGTTTGCTGATGATGCAAAAATTATGAGGATTGAAACAGAGGATGATAGTAGGAGGCTACAAAATGACCTAGACAGACTGAGTGAATGGTCCAACAAATGGTTGCTAAAGTTTAACCAGAGTAAATGCAATTTAATGAAACTAGGCAGTGGAAACAGTAGGCCAGACACTGGATAAAGAAAGGGAAATGAAGTACTTCATGAAACTGACAGAGAGAAAGATCTAGGAGTTGCAACCCGTTCTTGCAAATTCGTAAAGTCAATATTGACTTATTAAATATGTGCATAGGTGATATACTAAACATAATAGATACCCTTAAAAAGATTCATAGAAAACACCGACCTTACCTAACCTTGTTAGTATCTTAAGATAAGCATCTTATTGCTTCGTAATTACAATTATTACTTAACCTATACCTATTATAGGTTAGGTAATAATTGTAATTACGAAGCAATAAGATGCTTATCTTAAGATACTAACAAGGTATCAACCTATACCTATTATAGGTTAGGTAATAATTGTAATTACGAAGCAATAAGATGCTTATCTTAAGATACTAACAAGGTTAGGTAAGGTCGGTGTTTTCTATGAATCTTTTTAAGGGTATCTATTATGTTAAGTATGTCACCTATGCACATATTTAATAAGTCAATATTGACTTATTAAATTTGCGAGAACGGGTTGCAACGTTGATATCACACCAAACCTGTCTCCTGAAGCCCACATAAAAAGAATAACGTCTGCGGCATATGCGAGGCTGGCTAACATCAGAACAGCCTTCAGGAACCTGTGTAAGGAATCATTCAGAATCTTGTACACCACATATGTAAGACCAATCCTGGAGTATGCGGCCCCAGCATGGAGCCCGTACCTTGTCAAGCACAAGACGAAGCTGGAAAAAGTTCAGAGGTTTGCCACTAGACTAGTCCCAGAACTAAGAGGCATGAGTTACGAGGAAAGGCTGCGGGAAATGCACCTTACGACACTGGAAGACAGAAGAGTAAGGGGAGACATGATCACTACCTACAAAATCCTAAGGGGTATTGACAGGGTAGACAAAGATAAACTGTTTAACACTGGTGGTATGCGAACAAGGGGACACAGGTGGAAACTGAGTACCCACATGAGCCACAGGGACGTTAGAAAGAACTTTTTCAGTGTCAGAGTAGTTAACAGATGGAATGCATTAGGCAGTGATGTGGTGGAGGCTGACTCCATACACAGTTTATAATGTAGATATGATAGAGCCCAGTAGGCTCAGGAACCTGTACACCAGTTGATTGACGGTTGAGAGGCGGGACCAAAGAGCCAGAGCTCAACCCCCGCAAGCACAACTAGGTGAGTACACACACACTAGAAGCCAGTGTCTGGCCGTAAACAAACACAATAATGATAAAAAACCACAATGGGATGTACCGGTAACTGCCTGGTTAATGGTGTTTTATCGGCTACCGGGGATTACCCAGTAGTTACCGGTACAGGGGGGGGGGGGGTGTTACCTGGCGGGGTACCAGGATGTGTCAGTAGTTGGTTACTGGTGATACCGGATCCTCACCACTCTGTGACATTATGTACCGGTTGCCCCGCCCAGCCGGCAACACCCAGTACCCTCCTGGTGGCCGCAACCTGTTGGGCAACCACCACCACCACCACTATTACTACCCCCAGTACCACCACCACCACCAGTACCACTATTACTACCCCCAGTACCACCACCACCACTACCACCAGTACCACTATTACTACCCCCAATACCACCACCACCACCAGTACCACTATTACTACCCCCAGTACCACCACCACCACCAGTACCACTATTACTACCCCCAGTACCACCACCACCAGTACCACTATTACTACCCCCAGTACCACCACCACCACCAGTACCACCACCACCCCCAGTACCACCACCACCACCACTATTACTACCCCCAGTACCACCACCACCACCAGTACCACTATTACTACCCCCAGTACCACCACCACCACCAGTACCACTATTACTACCCCCAGTACCACCACCACCCCCAGTACCACCACCACCACCACTATTACTACCCCCAGTACCACCACCACCACCAGTACCACTATTACTACCCCCAGTACCACTATTACTACCCCCAGTACCACCACCAGTACCACTATTACTACCCCCAGTACCACCACCAGTACCACTATTACTACCCCCAGTACCACCACCAGTACCACTATTACTACCCCCAGTACCACCACCAGTACCACTATTACTACCCCCAGTACCACCACCAGTACCACTATTACTACCCCCAGTACCACCACCACCACCAGTACCACTATTACTACCCCCAGTACCACCACCACCACCAGTACCACTATTACTACCCCCAGTACCACCACCACCACCAGTACCACTATTACTACCCCCAGTACCACCACCAGTACCACTATTACTACCCCCAGTACCACCACCAGTACCACTATTACTACCCCCAGTACCACCACCACCACCAGTACCACTATTACTACCCCCAGTACCACCACCACCACCACCACCAGTACCACTATTACTACCCCCAGTACCACCACCACCACCACCAGTACCACTATTACTACCCCCAGTACCACCACCACCACCAGTACCACTATTACTACCCCCAGTACCACCACCACCACCAGTACCACTATTACTACCCCCAGTACCACCACCACCACCACCACCAGTACCACTATTACTACCCCCAGTACCACCACCACCACCACCACCAGTACCACTATTACTACCCCCAGTACCACCACCACTACCCCGAGTACCACCAACACTACCACCATCAGGAACATGATAAGGGAACACCCAGATAAGATAAACTTTGTAACATATCGATCACCAAGTTTCTTAGGCACAAAATCTTACCTTACAAACTCTCTTCAGATCTGTGACAAGATTAAGAAATAAGAACACTGGAATATACACCATTGATAATGACGTATTGGTCTATACGAGGCAGCTCCTATTGGTCCATACGAGGCAGCTCCTATTGGTCCATACGAGGCAGCTCCTATTGGTCCATACGAGGCAGCTCCTATTGGTCCATACGAGGCAGCTCCTATTGGTCCATACGAGGCAGCTCCTATTGGTTCACACGAGGCAGCTCCTATTGGTCCATACGAGGCAGCTCCTATTGGTTCACACGAGGCAGCTCCTATTGGTCCACACGAGGCAGCTCCTATTGGTCCACACGAGGCAGCTCCTATTGGTCCATACGAGGCAGCTCCTATTGGTCCATACGAGGTAGCGCCTATTGGTCCATACGAGGCAGCTCCTATTGGTCCACACGAGGCAGCTCTTATTGGTCCATATGAGGCAGCTGATATTTATATCCACCCAGACTCGCTCATTCATACACATACAGATAACCTAAGCTTCAAACAATCTATGAATTGTAATGTGATTACAATTGTAAGATAACGTTGTAAGGGAGTGTCTGACGGATAGGAAACAGCGCGTCACACCCGATGATCTGTAAATGATCCGAGGAGATGACCTCACTTTTTCAAGACAGTCTGTACAACGTGTGTGAGACCAATACTGGAATATGCAGCACTGGAACCCGCACGAAGCGAGCACAATCCTAAAATTAAAAAGTGCTGATGTTTACAGCCAGACCAGCGCCGGAATTGAAAGGTTCAAGGCACAAGTCTTATGGAATTCAAGTTCCCAATTGCAGAGGAGAAAATGAGCAGGAGGAACATGATCCCAACATTCAAAATACTCATTGGAGAATTGACTAGATGGAGTAATACAGCCTCTTTGTACTGAGAGAAAATAACATAAAATAGATGGAAGCTGGACACGCAAATAAGTCAAATAGTGAAATATTCGTTCCCAGGGAAACAAGAAGTTGTCAACCACCACTATAGAAAATGTTTTATAGTGAAGGATATATAAAGTGCTATACACCACGATCCTCTGAAGTCACTATAGGTCAGCACTACCACCACCACCACCACCACAATCACCACTACCACCACAATCACCACTACCACCACCACAATCACCACTGCTACCACCACAATCACCACTACCACCACCACAATCACCACTACCACCACCACTACCACCACCACCACAATCACCACTACCACCACCACAATCACCACCAACCACTGCCACAGTAATGCCATAAATGCCAATTACACGTAACTTACAGAGTCTCGTGTGGGAAGGAGAGAGGCGGTAAGTCAGGTGTGGTGAAACACCTGACTAAGGAGTCATGTTTGAGGTCAGTCTTTACTGGCCAGATCAACTGCTATGGAACCTACCAGTCCCACACTTGTGGTGGGGACATGTAGACACCTGCTGTCAGGCGAGCTGTCACCATCACCACCAACACCTGTCACCACCACCACCAACACCTGTCACCATCACCACCACCTGTCACCATCAACACCAACACCTGTCACCACCACCACCAACACCTGTCACCACCACCACCAACACCTGTCACCACCACCACCAACACCTGTCACCACCACCACCAACACCTGTCACCATCACCACCAACCCAAATGTCGAGTACACAATGTGTCAACTTTGTGAAAGAGAAAACATGCACTCTCTTGAACATTATATTGTAGAATGTCCCATATTGACTGACTTTCGCCCTCCTGGGCTAAGGTATGCTGAACTCTGTAATTACTATATGAGTACTGGAATACTTGATGATATATTGGACTTGTATCCAAGATTGACCATGTAATGTATCAATTATACAATGTATGTATGTGATGTAACTATATAACCTGAGCTTGTAAAAGCACCTTAATCACCTTCAGTGATTAAGTGCTTAATTGCACACTAGTTTCTCTATCAGCTATCTCACCTTGTCAGAGTAAAAAAGACAAATGTATGTGAATGCATGTGTGTGTATATATGTACGTATATGTGTGTGTGTATGTATAAAGTATATATAGAAGCTGATCAGAATTACATTTCACCTTTGTAAATGCACATTAATGACACTATGTAAAAGACACATCTAACACTTTATGTAGGGCATACGTAAATCTGTGTATCTATGTATTTACGTATGTAAGTTAGCTTAGCATTTTAAAAGCACCGACTCACCTTCTGTGGTTGAGTGTTCAATAAACTCTTGAACTATATGTTTAACACATCTCTAACCCTGTCCATGGAGGACAGAAGAAAATGTATATATGCTGGTTAGCATTGTAAATGTCTGGCCACGTCTGTGGTAGAAAATAATAATAAAAAAAAAACACCAACACCTGTCACCATCACCAACACCTGTTCACCATCACCACCAACACCTGTCACCATCACCACCAACACCTGTCACCATCACCAACACCTGTTCACCATCACCACCAACACCTGTCACCATCAACACCTGTCACCATCACCATCAACACCTGTTCACCATCACCACCTGTCACCATCACCATCAACACCGGTCACCATCACCATCAACACCTGTCACCATCACCATCAACACCTGTTCACCACCAACACCTGTCACCATCACCATCAACACCTGTCACCCAATTATTAACAAACTCAATGTTGTTTTGTTTACCTTGAAGGCGCGTGATGAGAGGCCGGCCTGGCTCCTATGTTGCCCGGGCCGCTCCCAGCTCCCATGTTGCCCGGGCCGCTCCCAGCTCCCATGTGGCCCGGGCCGCTCCCTGGACCACATTTAGGTGGTTTATATATATGTGTGGCCGGGGGGGGGGGAGTCCTGGAACATCCTGGATCCGGCTGTGTGGAGGAGGAGCTCCGAGGACGACCCGTCTCGAGGATCAGGTCCGGTCACTCTGGTATTTGTGTTCTTAGAGTGAATGTTTTGGGTTTGTTGTGTTGAGGTGTAGGGTTGGTGGGGGTGTTGGGCTGCAGCTCCTGGGCTGTGGTGACGGGGGTTAAGGCTTGGTGAGCCGTCACTGGTAGTGTCTAGCTGGCTCTTCTCTTGCTGCTTATTACTTTGTCTCAAGCTCACCAGGAACAACAGTGCTGTGTGTGTGTGTGTGTGTGTGTGTGTGTGTACTCACCTGTTTGTACTCACCTAGTTGTGTCTGCAGGATCGAGCATTGACTCTTGGATCCCGCCTTTCTAACCATCGGTTGTTTACAGCAATGACTCCTGTCCCATTTCCCTGTCATACCTGGTTTTAAAATTAGTAATAGTATTTGCTTCCACAACCTGTTCCTGAAGTGCATTCCATTTTCCCACTACTCTCACGCTAAAAGAAAACTTCCTAACATCTCTGTGACTCATCTGAGTTTCCAGCTTCCATCCATGTCCCCTCGTTCTGTTACTATTCCGTGTGAACATTTCGTTTATGTCCACTCTGTCAATCCCTCTGAGTATTTTATACGTCCCTATCATGTCCCCCCTCTCCCTTCTTTTTTCTAGTTTCGTAATGCTCAGTGCCTTCAGGCGCCTCTCATACCCCATCCCTCGTAACTCTGGGACGAGTTTCGTTGCAAACTTCTGAACCTTTTCCAGTTTCCTTATGTGTTTCTTCAGATGGGGACTCCATGATGAGGCGGCATACTCTAAGACTGGCCTCACGTAGGCAGTGTAAAGCGCCCTAAATGCCTCCTTACTTAGGTTTCTGAATGATGATCTAACTTTTGCCAGTGTAGAGTACGCTGCTGTCGTTATCCTATTTATATGTGCCTCAGGAGATAGATTAGGTGTTACGTCCACACCCAGGTCTCTTTCACGCGTCGTTACAAGTAGGCTGTTCCCCTTCATTGTGTACTGTCCCTTTGGTCTCCTATCTCCTAGTCCCATTTCCATAACTTTACATTTGCTCGTGTTGAACTCCAGTAGTACGCACACACACACACACACGTGTGTGTGTGTGTGTGTGGCGGAGGAGGGTGGGGCCAGCACCAGCCTGACCTTCCACCGCCGTGGACAACATCCCCTCAACCAAAACACCATTTTTTCCACCATTCTGTCTCGGCTCACTTAAAAGCAGTTCAATTTCCCCGCCATGTTGCCACCACCAAGACATTCCCCGCCATGTTGCCACCACCAAGACATTCCCCGCCATGTTGCCCCCAACAAGACATTCCCCGCCATGTTGCCCCCACCAAGACATTCCCCGCCATGTTGCCCCCAACAAGACATTCCCCGCCATGTTGCCACCAACAAGACATTCCCCGCCATGTTGCCACCAACAAGACATTCCCCGCCATGTTGCCCCCAACAAGACATTCCCCGCCATGTTGCCACCAACAAGACATTCCCCGCCATGTTGCCCCCAACAAGACATTCCCCGCCATGTTGCCCCCAACAAGACATTCCCCGCCATGTTGCCCCCAACAAGACATTCCCCGCCATGTTGCCCCCAACAAGACATTCCCCGCCATGTTGCCCCCAACAAGACATTCCCCGCCATGTTGCCCCCAACAAGACATTCCCCGCCATGTTGCCCCCAACAAGACATTCCCCGCCATGTTGCCCCCAACAAGACATTCCCCGCCATGTTGCCCCCAACAAGACATTCCCCGCCATGTTGCCCCCAGCGAGACATTCCCCGCCATGTTGCCACCACCGAGACATTCCCCGCCATGTTGCCACCACCGAGACATTCCCCGCCATGTTGCCCCCAGCGAGACATTCCCCGCCATGTTGCCCCCAACAAGACATTCCCCGCCATGTTGCCCCCAGCGAGACATTCCCCGCCATGTTGCCACCACCGAGACATTCCCCGCCATGTTGCCACCACCGAGACATTCCCCGCCATGTTGCCCCCAACAAGACATTCCCCGCCATGTTGCCCCCAGCGAGACATTCCCCGCCATGTTGCCCCCAGCGAGACATTCCCCGCCATGTTGCCACCACCGAGACATTCCCCGCCATGTTGCCACCACCGAGACATTCCCCGCCATGTTGCCCCCAACAAGACATTCCCCGCCATGTTGCCCCCAGCGAGACATTCCCCGCCATGTTGCCCCCAGCGAGACATTCCCCGCCATGTTGCCACCACCGAGACATTCCCCGCCATGTTGCCACCACCGAGACATTCCCCGCCATGTTGCCACCACCGAGACATTCCCCGCCATGTTGCCACCACCGAGACATTCCCCGCCATGTTGCCCCCAGCGAGACATTCCCCGCCATGTTGCCCCCAGCGAGACATTCCCCGCCATGTTGCCCCCAACAAGACATTCCCCGCCATGTTGCCCCCAGCGAGACATTCCCCGCCATGTTGCCCCCAGCGAGACATTCCCCGCCATGTTGCCACCACCGAGACATTCCCCGCCATGTTGCCACCACCGAGACATTCCCCGCCATGTTGCCACCACCGAGACATTCCCCGCCATGTTGCCACCACCGAGACATTCCCCGCCATGTTGCCACCACCGAGACATTCCCCGCCATGTTGCCACCAGCGAGACATTCCCCGCCATGTTGCCCCCAGCGAGACATTCCCCGCCATGTTGCCACCACCGAGACATTCCCCGCCATGTTGCCCCCACCGAGACATTCCCCGCCTTTTCAGGATTATTCTGCAACTTTTAACATTAAAACACAAAATGGATCTCGGTAATTTTTCCATTATATGAGGACCCAACGCCTCGATTTTTGCTCTAGTGATGTAATTTGGTAAAATATATATTAATATACAACGCTGTGGCCACTTTTCCTTTCATCTAATACAACTGTTCACCTAGAAGTAAATACGGACTTTGGGGAGAGGGAACTGCTGGGGGACTTTCAGGCTTCCTGTCACCATCAAAACGAATGAATGATTAAGAGCAAGACTCGAGCGAGAGGGAATGGTAGTTGATCAGACTTTGTGAGACTTCGCCTTCCCAGGCTGTAAGTCTGAGAGTGTGACGTGGACACACTTAAATCTGAGAGTGACAGGGGACACTCTCAAGTCTGAAAGTCTTCCAGAAGTGGCAATATTTTGGTAACTGTCCATTAATATTATTGTAACTGTTGCTTCATGTTTAGGTTAAACCTAGGTAAGGTAAGGTGTAGTTACCTTAACATAGGGAGAGTTACCCTACAGACGGAGTGAAGAGGCTCGTTTCCAGCCATAGTTCCCAGCCCGTGGACACTAAGTCATATAGTGACTAAAGTGGAATGTTGCTTGTGTGTGTTGTTGATTGGTGGTTTCACAAGGAGGGAGTTGGTCTAGCTTTGTCTGCTTGTGTTCAACTGGTCAGTTGTGGTATGGACTCTGCATGAGGAGTGTGTTGAACAATCATTCGTATCCACTTAAGTTTTACCACACATTTTTGTTCAGTTTGTTGAACATTGTTGCAGCGGACAATATAACTTGACGCTTCTATTGGAATTTTATTTCAAGTGAAATAAAATAGTGTGAATATTTTATTGACAATAGTGTGAAATATTACCTACAGTGTTGCCATTATCTTGTTTTACAGCTTTTCATAGACATTATTGCCCGAGGACCGGTGTTGGGACTAAGCTCTAGGCTAGGCTTATTTAGCTCACTCGTTCCGGCATACTGGAAATGGTTGTTAACATTTTAAACAATCAGCAAGGCACCAGGTTGTGATTATATGTGGTTGTTGTGTCGTGTTGTTAACCTGTTTCTGGCATAATTACCGGAACTTGGGCTCTATTTAGTTACGGAAGACGGGGCTTCTCTCTCATTAACTTGAGGTCCAGGATGGCATGAATGAGGGATGTGTGGATTCCCTTCACCAATGTATTTACCTTAACCGTTAAGTATCTTAAAATAGACTATCAATATACTTATTTACAGTAGTGTCTCTTTCCACACAGGACACAAAGCGCACACATGCAGGGTTCGTCAACCCCCAGTGTTTCCACCACCCAGTACCTCGTCCACTCGCACTGGGAAACACTGGCGAGTTCACCTTGTACGTGGGCCAGGCCACCGACACAGTATCACGAGGTGCCTATACCCCCACGACTCTACTCCAGCCACACGCTGGCAGTAGACTTCAGCCACACGCTGAGCGGGGCCAAAGAACAACCAATACAGAGGTAGCAAGTCCCTGGCAGATGCCTCTAGTGACCGGCTAGCAGCACTTCACAACAGGCACCTCATTGTCGTCCATTTCTCTCCTAAGCCAGTCCCAGGGTGCGTCGATCCCTTCCAACACTACGTAATCGGCTGCTAAGTAACTGCTTCAGATCAGCGGCTGCTTACTTAGTCGTCTTCCAGGACCAAGTTGAGAGAACATGGACTGCCCAAGGTAAACTGCCTTCCTCATTACCACTGCCACCAGACGTCACCACAGTGGACATAACACATCATCAGTTAATTAAACAGTACATTGGGGAAACCAGGAGGTAACACTCACTCTCCGGGGAGTTGACATTATGCTCGTAGCACAACCTAGGTGGCGCTGATCTTGATCCGTCACCTCACCAGAGGTCAGCCACAACGACCTCTCTGTCTGACCAAGGCAGGAAACTAGAGCCGTTTGCCGTTGTCACGCCACCACCAATAGATGGCGTTGTCCACGTAGCGTCCAGTATCAGGGAGGGTTGGAGTGCAGACTCATAGATGGCGCTGGAATTGTCACTCAGCCGAAGGTGACGGACCCATAACAAGTGGTCACATCAACACCTTACTGACCAACTACCAACCTTCGGTGTTGGACTTAAGACTAATTAACCTTTGTAGGGTTATTAAGACCGCTACAATAGCGAACTGACCAGCAGACAAGTATACACTTTAGTCCAGGACAAAAATCAACTTTCTGAGTACATACATACACGGAGCTCCCCCCCCCCACCCACACCCCGCCCACAACACCTCCCCCTACCCACACCCCGCCCACAACAACCCCCCACCCACACCCCGCCCACAACACCTCCCCCCACCCACACCCCGCCCACAACAACCCCCCACCCACACCCCGCCCACAACACCTCCCCCCACCCACACCCCGCCCACAAAACCCTCCCCCCACCCACACCCCCGCCTACAACACCTCCCCCCACCCACACCCCGCCTACAACACCTCCCCACCCACACCCCGCCCACAACACCTCCCTCCGCCCACACCCCGCCCACACCCCGCCCACAACACCTCCCTCCGCCCACACCCCGCCCACAACTAGGCTCGCCAGCTTACACAAACTTCGCCTGAGAATAATATAGAGGAAAAAATGACCCGAAAGTGAACTGCTTGTTCCATTTCCTAACAAAGGGTCTTAAACCCGAGTTCAATTGGCCTGACCTCACGGAGGAACGCGTAGAATGGCCTTTATTGGCTGACAAGTGCTAACTAGGGTGGTTGACCTCAGTACAGCTCCTTAATTAACTACCCCTCCTAACACTAGCTAAGTGTACGGTAGGTTAGGCTAGGGCTTGGTTAGAATTGTTCAAGTTAGGTTAAGTTTATATGAGGTTAAATGTGGATTAAGTTAGGTTATGTTTGACCACAATAACTTTAGACAGAGACAGAAACAGAGAGAGAGACAGAGAGAGAGAGACAGAGAGAGACAGAGAGAGAGAGAGAGACAGAGACAGAGACAGAGAGAGAGAGACAGAGAGAGACAGAGAGAGACAGAGACAGAGAGAGAGACAGAGACAGAGAGAGACAGAGAGAGACAGAGAGAGAGAAAGACAGAGAGAGAGACAGAGAGACAGACAGAGAGAGACAGACAGAGAGAGACGGAGAAAGACAGAGAGAGAGAGAGAAATACAGAGAGAGACAGAGACAGAGAAAGAGAGAGAGACAGAGACACCAAGAAATAAGACAGACCACTTATGTGCAACTAGCAAGATAACTAGAGACTCGTGGAGACTGAACAGCCTTGTTTCAGTAAGGTGCCTCGTGTGTGACGAAGGTTCGCTGTGTCCCACACTGTGTGGTGCAGGTGATGGTGATTAGGGATCGTGTCGTTATGTATGGTGACCTTAACGAGGCCTCGAGGACCGTACTTAACGAAGGAGCTCGTTAGATATCAACAAGTGGTAGTGGAGGGGGAGGGGGGGGGTAGCCTAAGTGGGATTAGAACTTGTTTATTTAAAACAAAAGTTGAGAGTTGGTATGAATAGAGGAGAGGTCACGTGGGAGACCGTTGCAAGTTCAAATGGGAGACCGTTGCAAGTTCGAATGGGAGACCGTTGCAAGTTTAAATGGGAGACCGTTGCAAGTTCAAATGGGAGACCGTTGCAAGTTCAAATGGGAGACCGTTGCAAGTTGAGTGCCTCAAGGCACTGTCCTGGTCCCTCTCTTCCTTATCATATATAATAAAGTTTTAGACACAGGATTAAATAGCAAAAGTTGCAATGTTGCAGACGATACTAATAATAGCGCGGAATATTAATTCTGAACAAGAGACAAAATCGATGAACAGAACAGTTTTAATGCTGAACAATTTAGAATGCTGAACAGTTTTAATGCTGAACAGTTTTAATGCTGAACAGTTTTAATGCTGAACAGTTTTAATGCTGAACAGTTTTAATGCTGAACAATTTAGAATGCTGAACAGTTTTAATGCTGAACAGTTTTAATGCTGAACAGTTTTAATGCTGAACAGTTTTAATGCTGAACAGTTTTAATGCTGAACAATTTAGAATGCTGAACAGTTTTAATGCTGAACAGTTTTAATGCTGAACAGTTTTAATGCTGAACAGTTTTAATGCTGAACAATTTAGAATGCTGAACAGTTTTAATGCTGAACAGTTTTAATGCTGAACAATTTAGAATGCTGAACAGTTTTAATGCTGAACAGTTTTAATGCTGAACAGTTTTAATGCTGAACAATTTAGAATGCTGAACAGTTTTAATGCTGAACAGTTTTAATGCTGAGCAGTTTTAATGCTGAACAGTTTTAATGCTGAACAATTTAGAATGCTGAACAGTTTTAATGCTGAACAGTTTTAATGCTGAACAATTTAGAATGCTGAACAGTTTTAATGCTGAACAGTTTTAATGCTGAACAGTTTTAATGCTGAACAGTTTTAATGCTGAACAGTTTTAATGCTGAACAATTTAGAATGCTGAACAGTTTTAATGCTGAACAGTTTTAATGCTGAACAGTTTTAATGCTGAACAGTTTTAATGCTGAACAATTTAGAATGCTGAACAGTTTTAATGCTGAACAGTTTTAATGCTGAACAGTTTTAATGCTGAACAGTTTTAATGCTGAACAATTTAGAATGCTGAACAGTTTTAATGCTGAACAGTTTTAATGCTGAACAATTTAGAATGCTGAACAGTTTTAATGCTGAACAGTTTTAATGCTGAACAGTTTTAATGCTGAACAGTTTTAATGCTGAACAGTTTTAATGCTGAACAATTTAGAATGCTGAACAGTTTTAATGCTGAACAGTTTTAATGCTGAACAGTTTTAATGCTGAACAGTTTTAATGCTGAACAATTTAGAATGCTGAACAGTTTTAATGCTGAACAGTTTTAATGCTGAACAGTTTTAATGCTGAACAGTTTTAATGCTGAACAATTTAGAATGCTGAACAGTTTTAATGCTGAACAGTTTTAATGCTGAACAATTTAGAATGCTGAACAGTTTTAATGCTGAACAATTTAGAATGCTGAACAGTTTTAATGCTGAACAGTTTTAATGCTG